CAGAGGCCTCGAAGACGGTCTCAAAACAGCCCACGGGGGTCCCAAGACGGCGCTAGAGGCGTCCAAGGCGGAGCGAGAGGGCCCCAACACGGCCCCAAGATGGAGGGTTGACACGACCCGAAAATCCGAGTCTTCCATCCCGAGAGGCTCTCAGGAGGCCCCGACAAGCCCAAACAGGCTCCAAGAGGCCCCAAGAAGCCCCCCCAGGCGGCCGAAGCGTATCCAAGAGGCCTCCCACGAAGGCCCCAAGAGGCACAAATCCATGTCTTGCCGTAGGTGTTTGATTGATGTTAGAGTTTTCAGCCTTTTGGCGTCCTGACGCTCCAAGACGGCCCAAGAGGCCTCCAAGACCAAGCCAAGATAGCCCACGAGGCCTCCAACAGGGCCCAAGACAGCCCGAGAGGGCACCAATACGGCCCCAAGGGGGGCCCAAGAGGGGTAAGACGAACCGAAAATCCGAGCCTTCCACCCCGAGAGGCTCTCAGGAAGCCCCAGAGGCCCCCAAATGGGACCCAAGAGGCCCTCAAGAAGCTCCCCAGAAGGCCGAAGAGGTTCCAAGAAGCAATGTTTTCCCATCGGCTTTTGATGGATTTTAAAGTTCCCAGCCTTTTGGCTTCCAGACGCTCCAAGACGGCCCAAGAGGCCCCCAAGACCGCAGAGGCCTCCAAGAGGGCCCCAAGACGGCCCACGGGGGCCCCAAGACGGTGCCCGAGGCGCCCAAGACGGCCCGAGAGGGCCCCAAGAGGGCCCCAAGAGAGCCCCAAGAAGGTGAACGCGAACCCAACAGCAGAGCCTTTCGCCCTAAGAGGCCCACAGGAGGCCCCAAGAGTCCCCAAGTGGTTCGACGAGGCCCACCAAAGCCCCCCACCAGGCCACAAAAGGCTCACAGGAGACGTACACGGGGCCTATCAAAATTGCTTCAAGGAGGCCCCGGGAGGCTTCCAGATTGCCCCAATGTGGCCTCAAGCCGGGCCTCTACGCAGCCAAGACGGCCAATTGTCTGCTTCAGGCTGCAGAACATCACTTTACGACTGCCCGGAGAACCCTGACGATGCCCCAAGGGACCCCAAGAAGCCCCAAGATGCCCCCCGAGAAGCACCCAAGATGTGCCTGCAACAGCCAATTGAGGAAGCATGGAGGGCCCCCCAGAAGCCCTTCAGATGCCCCCACGAAGACCCAAGAGGTTTCCAAGAGGCCCTCAGGAGGCACGACTATGTCACGCGCCTGTGCTTGATAGCGCTGTCCAAGATCCTCAAGCGCGCCCCTAGCCTGGGCTAGAACCTGAGCGCGCGCGAAGCGCGCGCGATGGTTCTAGTATATATATATATATATATATATATATATATGTATACATACATACATACATGTATGTATACATATATATATATATACATATAGAAATCCACATGTATACACATGCATATGCAAATACATGTCCGCCATCTTGCCCCCTTGCACATTGTGGTGTGCTAGAATGTCAAGTGCTGTCTCGCAGGGCTTCTGAAACTTTCTAAGGGACCCCCCTCCTCGGGAAGCGCCTCGTCGCGTGCGCCAGCCATGCTCCCGCAGTCCCTGGGCGGCCATGGCGCCTCCCTGGGGCTCTCCAAGGCTTCCATGACGGCCCAGAAGGCCCCCAAGACGGTCCAAGAGGGCCCCGAGTCGCCGAACGATCGCTCGAAGACGCCCAAGGTAGCGTCAAGATGGCGCAAGAGGCGTCAAAGGCGCCCCAAGAGGCCTCGAAAAGGTCGATCAAGAGGGCCCCAAAAAGCAAAGATTAGCCTGGTGAAGGACCCAACCATATGCAATTGTGAGCACCGTCGTTGTATGCACCGCATTCGGAGAAGCTCCCTATAGGGCCACGTAACGCGTGAGGGGTGTGCCAAAATTTGTCCCGTGGGCGCATGCGAACGCAGCCACTAGCGCCGTCGGTGGAATCCCCTGTGGGGCCACGAAACGCGTGAGAGGTGTGCCGAAATGGGTGAGGTGGGCGCATGCGAACGCAGCCACTGGGGCCGTCGGTGGAGCTCCCTATGGGGCCGCGAAACGTATCATGGGTGTGCCGAAATGGGCGCGGTGGGCGCATGCGAACGCAGACACTCGGGCCTTCGGTGGAGCTCCCTATGGTGTGAATGTTGCCTCCCAGGGCCGAGCCGCGCCCGAAAGAGGAGAGGGTGACGACCAGCTGGCCTCCTCAGCGTGTGGGGGCCAGCCCTCCGGCCAGGCCGGGCGCGCCAGCGCCGACGGCACAGCGGCGGTCATGCCGCGGCGCGGCCGGAGGCGGCACGAGCGCTGCCGGGGTCCCCGGCCGCGCCCGAAAGAAGAGCGGGTGACGGCCAGCTGGCCTCGTCGGGCGTGCGAGCGCCGACGGCACACGCGGCGGTGGTGCCGCATGTGCGGACAGAGGTGGCGCGAGGGGCGGGCCACGCACGCGGCGAGAGGCGGAGGCGGAGCCAGGGGGAGGGAGGCCCCGAGGAGCGGCCGGGCGAGCGAGGTCCGCACC